AAGTTACATAGCTGAAATAAGCCATTTTTAATGGAAATAAATCCAATTTAAAATGCAAAAACACAAACATATACACACAAATAAAAAAACATTTCTACAAACACATAGAAATCTTTATTAAACAAAAATATCAAATGTGAAGCTATTCTTTCTCATCATATCCTACATCAAGAAATGTTTCTATCTCTTGTAGCTTTACTTAAAGAATTCTGTGCTCTTTGATTTACTCCACACCATGTGCAAAGCCAGTTTAGGCATCCTTCAGGGGCTCACATTGTGCTCCTTTTCAATGTTCTTTGAATCTGGGTAACAGAAAAGAAGTCTGACGTGGTAAGATCAGCACTATAGGGTGAATAGTTTCCAAATGAAAGTTCGGTAAGTCAGCCCTTGCTACTCTCAAAGAATAAGCAGGTGCATTGTTATAATGGAAACACTTTTTCAACACAACTTCCCTGAACTTGTTCTCCCTAATGCAGCTTTCAATTTTCTTTCGACTTCTTCCGAATCAGGCCTCGTGATCATGCAGTGTCCCTTGAAAGAAAATCCATCAAGATTCTTATTGTTGTTGGGCGTCATTGAGTCAGATCCAGCTCATAGCAACCTTATGGCACAACAGAACTACATACTGCCGGGTCTCACAATGACTGTGCTTGAGCTTATTGGTGCAACTGTGGTGTCAATCCATCTTCTTGCCACAGTCTTTCTCTTTTTCGTTGACCCTTTATTTTATTACGTCTAATGCTCTTTTCCAGGGGTGGACTTTCCTGATAACATGTCCAACGTATGTAAAACAAAGTGTTGCCAGCCTCACTTGTTAAGGTCAATTCTGGTTATATGTCTTCCAACCCACACTTGTTTGTTCTTCTGTCCAAGGTATTTTTAATATTCTTCCCCAACATCATTCAAATGCATCAAATCTTTTGGGGTTTTCACTGTCCAACTTCTGCATACATATCAGGCAACTGAAAATATGATGACTTGGGTCAGGTGCACCTTAGTCATCAAAGTGACAACCTTGCTCTTCAACATTTTAGTTTTCTTATACAGCAGATTTGCCAAAAAGCTATAGATGTCATTTATATGACTGCTGCTTCCATAAGCATTGAGTGTGAATATATGCAAATTTAAAACTTTGACAATTTCAGTCTTTCCTGTTTATCATGATACTATCTATTGGCCCAATTGTGAGAACTTAGGTTTTCTTTACATTGAGTTGTCATCCATACTGATGGCTGCATTCCTTGAACTTCAAGAGCTAGGGCTTCAAGTCTTCCTCATTTCCAGCACGCAAGTTTGTAGCATCTGCATATCAGAGGTTGTAATTAGGCATATTTCCAGTTCTGACACCGAATTCTTCATAGTCCATCTTCTTGAGTTATTTGGTCAGAATACAGACTGAATAAGTATGGTTACAGGATATAACCCTGGCACATAAAATTCCTGATTTTTAAACCAGGGCATTCCTTTGTTCCATTTGTACATAATAAATCATGATTACCCACTTGGAATCCCAAACAGCAGCTGCTATAACTTTCTGTTATCACCTCCCTGTCTTGAATTTAACTGACCTCGAAGATCCCCTCAGAAGCCACTGTTTCGATTGGACCATTTTTGGAAGGCACCCAGCAAGACCGAGACCTGTGCATGTATTACTGACCGAACTGCTCTGCAGCCACCCAGTGACCACAGAGACAGGCTGAAACATGCTTTGTTTGGAGTAAAGTCATGCATATATGAACTGGAACCACAGTACCCAAACTTTTTTAGTTACTCATGTATTTTTAAAAATAATTCTAAAAGGATTTACAAATTATATTTATCAACATACCTTATATTCATTTTTATCCTGAAGATCTGAAGTAAACAATCTGATTCTCATGTCAGCAGCTGATGTACAAAATCTGGAAGTAAAAAAAATCAAAATAAAAGAAAGCATTTTCTAAAGTGAACCCCCTTCTCCTCAATGTAAAAACAAACCAAAATCCCAAATTCATAAACATATTTTGGGGGTAGGAAGGGGAACACTGTTAAAAAAAATAGAAGCATTCAAAATAATTTTTTGTAACAGTACATAAAAAATTTTTATGTTTGGGATTTGCCTCCTGAATAAAATTTAGAATTACAGTGTATTACAGCAAGTGAATTTAATTTCAAAATTTTATTAAAAGCACAGAAGGATGGAATTAAAAAGCATTTTTATTTTAGCTGCCAGGTCAAAAATAATAAAAACACATTGTTAGCTATCTATTTTAGTCATTGATCTCTTTAGCTACCCATAGGCTTCCTTACATTTTCTATTCCCTCAAATAAATTAGATGAAGTAATATATTCTTACATCAGTAAAATCTAGTACATTTATACCCATTAAAAGCTATACTATTTCTTTTACTCATCATAAATTTTCAAAATATTTTTAGTAGCTCATCAATAGATGCTACATGAGAAAAAGTATCAAAGAACTCTTAACTAGTTTTCCTTCAACCCTAAATTTCTAGATTTCCAACACATCATATAAGAGGAAGCCCACAAAAACTGGAATTTTTTGGCAAAGCTATGTATTTAAAATTTTTTACAAAACAATCTTATCACTACTTTCAAAGTACTCTCCATTACACTTATACATTTGTCAAATCTGCGATTCCATTGTTGGAAACATTTTTCCAAATTCATCTGTTTTGGATGGCTGATAGCACCTCCCTTGTTTTTTTTTCTTCATTCTTCAATGTCCTCAAATCGCTGTCCTTTCATGTCCCTCTTCATTCAAAGAAACAAAAAACGTGAGGTCAGGTGAGTAAGGTGCTTGGGGCAAGAGAGGCATGCTGTTTTTTGCCCAAAACTGGAACACTGAGATGGCTGCATGAGCAGGTGCACTGTTGTGGTAGCAAAACCAGTAAGTACCCTGTCTGCCACAAATCAGGGCTTGTTGGTCACACACTGTTATGCAATCTTTTCAGAACCTCTAAATAGAAAGCTTGATTAACAGCATGACCTGGTGGAAACAACTCCAAATGCGCTGTCCCCCATCAAAAAAGGTAAATGAGCACTGGGATTTTTTTGGGTACGCCTTTGTATTATGGCTTAGGATAAAAATCAAAATTATATTTATACATCAAAATCCAAAGTTTATTTCCAATTCTTCTTTCTTAAGCAGCATATTATAGGGATCTAAATTTCTCCTTTAGTTTTGACCTTAAAATTAACTTTCTTTCAACTAATCAATTAAGGACCTCTGGAAATGAAGGCTCTTGTATAATGCACAATTTATTGATCTCTGCCACCTCACCCCATGCTGTCATCTGTCAAGAGCCATAAAAGGAAATGGAACGAAGTTAGCAAGAGAGATTCTCTTCTTCGTGCAAAAGTTTCTGAGAACTTTGGATACTTTTCCCAGAAGTTAAATGAAAAGCTGCAGTCAACAACAAAAACTACAAATAGGGTTTGATGAGGGTATGTTTTAGTGAGGCTCTTAAAGAGTTTATATATTAACTAAAAAGTCCACCCACTGCCGCAGAGTTGAAATTGGCTCATAGTGATGCTATGTGGTTTCCAAGGCTGTATATTTTCTAGGAGCAGACAGCCACTTCTTTCTCCCATGGAACAGCTGGTAGCATTGCAACATTTACCCACCAGTGAAGTCATGGCTTCTTAATGGGTTCAGCAGTGGTCCCCAAAAGATATGTGTAAGTCCTAGTTTCCTGGTACCTGTAAATGTGACCTTTATTTTGAAATTATGTTTTTATTAAATTAATTAAGAATCTTAAGAACTCATCCTGAATTTAAGCCCTACATCCAAAGACCAGAGTCTTTAAAAAGCCAGAGAGAGAGAAAAATAAAGGAGGATTGGAAGACAAGGGCAGAATTGGTTTTTCTACAAGTCAAGATAGGTCAAGGACTACCAGCTGGCAAAAGGTGCTAGACAAAGGGGTGGAATGTATTCCCCCTCAAACCCACCAGAGAAAACAACTCTGCCAACATTCTGTTTTGGACTTCTGCCTTCCAGAACCATGGAAGAATACACTTATGTTGTTTTAAGTCACTACATTTTGCGATCAGGAGAAAGATGAGGCTGTCTGCTCCTATAAGGTCTGTAACAGTGGTTCTCACACTTCCTAATGCTGCAACCCTTTAATACAGCTCATGTTGTGGTGATCCCAACCATAAAATTATTTTCGTTGCTACTTTGTAACTGTAATTTTGCTACTGTTATGAATCGGGCCAACCCTGTGAAAGGGTCGTTTGACCTCCAAAGGGGTTGCGACCCACAGGTTCGACCCACAGGTTGAGAACCGCTGTTCTAAAGTCTTAGAAAGCCCAAGGAGCAGTTCTACTCTGTCCGACAGGGTCCCTATAAGTTAAAATCAACTTGATGAGAGTAAGTTTGTGAAATTTGAGGCAGCAGCGGTAGGAAGTTGAGTCAATTTGGCAGATGGAGATCTAAGATATGCAGAATCCACTGCTCCATAAGGCTTCCAAGGCTGTGAACTCTCAGAAATAGATTGGCCGAGTTATCTTTTGCGTTGCTTTGGGTGGGTTGGAATCACCAATTAGCAATGGCGTGTTTAACCGTGTGCATCACCAAATACACTGTCCTGAATAGCAAACGGGCTCCTCAGTTCTGACGAGGTCAGCTGGCTTCAACCCATCAACCATCTGCTGAACAACTATGAGACCTGCTCCCATAGAGATTTACAGCTTCAGAAAACAACTGGGGCAGTTCTATGCCATCCTATAGGGTTGCTGTGAGTTGGAATCGACTTGCAAGTACGTAGTCATTTTTTGTTTTTGAGTTTCACGACTGAATTATTTCTTGCGGTGTATTTTGTTGATATGATGTGTTTTGGGGAATACAAGCATGCTGAAATCAAAGGGAAACTTTTCTTCTTCTCAGGCAATATTGATTTGGATGCAGTTATGTGACACTTAGGTCCAAAGTCGATTCTGGTGGGGTGAAGCCCATTTTCCCAGATTCATGAAGCTATCCAGGACTCTGCCAGGTACCCAGCGGTATTACAAGTGGAATAGCAGCCTTCCAAGAAATGTGAAAGGCTGGAAATATTGGTGGGTGATACGTACCCCACGGTTCATGAAAAAGTTAAACAGATGTTGGTTATCAAATCATTCCCTAAAAAATGTGTAATCATCTACCAAGTTGACTTTCTTTATTAACCAGCTTCTGTCTCATTTAGTTTTTAATACTTACTAGCCATCTGGGATGACACTGAACTATTCTGTGCCTGAGTTTCATTTTTCATATACTGTAGTGAAAGGGACCAGATTAAGTTCAAGGGACATTAGTCGCTGGAAAAGGACATTCGGTTTATGGAAGTGAAGGGCCAGTGAAACAAAGGAATATCTTCAAGGAGCTGCAAAGCCACAGGGGCTACAACTGTAGACTAGCACGTGACAATAGTGAGGAGGGTGCAGGCCCGGGCAGTGCTATGCTGTGCTGTACATAAAGTTGCGACGAGGCCCAACTGACTCAACGGCACTGAACAAGAACAGCCTTTTAGTTTAGTGTGAAGATGTTGTCAGTCTTGTTTTAAAATGGAAATGCATATGATCTTTACTTTGATTTAGTCTGTTGTTGCTAGGTACCTTCGAATTCATTTTTGACTCACAGTGACCCCGTGTGAGAGAACAGAACTGCTCTGTCTACTGTTTTCTAACCTGTAGCCCTTGTGGCACCTGACTGCCAGGCTTTTCTCCCACGGGGCTCCTAGATGGGCTTACACTCCCAACTTTTCAGTTAGTAGTGGAGCACTTAGTCACTACATCATTGAATCTTGCCACTACCTGGGTTCAGTTAACAATGAATTTAAGAAATGTGTTGACTGGAAACATGTCCAGCAGGAGGGAAAAATGAAGAAATAAAAAACCAATCAAGCTACCTAATAATTTAACGATGATTGTGATGTCCGTCAATATGTCGCTGTGCAAAAAGGAAACAACCCTCCGGTTGTCGAGGGGTTTTCTTTGGGGCAAACACCTACGGTTGCTATTGCCCATGTTCTGAGATCAGGGCATGTCCCAATTCAGTCCAACACCTCCATTGCAGGCTGGTCAATTTTCCTTTGGTTCAAGGTCTTCAAGCTCATCTCTCTATTCATTTATCCTTTCTCTTGTAGGTAAAGGGGTAAAGGAGGAGAAAGTCTAAGAGATACTGAACAGTTGAGTGCCAGGTACTATGAAGAAAGGATGTTTTAGGTAAAAGCATTATTTACTTCTAAGTATATATTTAAAGAAGTGTGAACAAATGCAACTGAGAAATGCATACAAGCATGTTCACAGCCATAGTATATAGGCTTTGCAAACCTTTAAAGGAGCAGATTGCCTGATCCATCTTTGTTATGTGGAACAGCTAGTGGGTTGAACTGTAAACTGTTGGCTACCAATCTAATGCTACCCAATATGGAGTCATGAAAAAATACCATTTTGGAATATCATAAGAAAAAATAATAAAGTTACAAAAGAGGTATATATATATTTGTTCTGGTTTTCAATATTTCCTGTTTTAAAAAAAACATTTTATTGGGAGTTCTTACAGATATTATTACAATCCATAGTTCCATTAAATCAAGCATAATTATACAATTGCTTCCATCCTCATTTTCAATACATTTTCTTCTTGAACTCCTTGATAACAGCTCCTCTTTATCCCCCCCAACCTCTGATTCCTCATTATATATTATTATTATTGCCATAACTTCCACCATCCCATTTATCCAATCACCCAAAATTCTGATGTTTGTTCTCTTCGAATGGCGATATACAGTCATCACTGCTATCAGTGTCCCTTCCCCCCTTTCTCGCCCTCTCTTCCTGTCTCTTCAGGGAGTTAATACTTTTCTTACTCTTTTTGAGAGGTTTCTCTATCTTGAATTTTGTGCAACCAAAGATCTTGATTGTAACAATGTATAAAAGCGGCTCTAGCAAGATTAGTGAGGTAAAACTAAGGCCATATGGTGGGAGAAGGAAATGGTAAATAACTAGGGATGGCTGTGACCTTCATCAGTGCTCTACTGCACGCTGCATACAGTGTCCCTTCCGTACGGCCCTTTTGTGAAGGACTGTCCCATTATTTTACAGTTTTTGATGGATGTTTTTCTCTGGATTATTTTGTTATTGTTTTTTGTATGTTTCCCAGTATATGAAATCCAGGATAGGTAAATATAAACTTGCATATAGTTTAATCACATTTGTGTAACATTATTTATAAAAAACATGGAAAGAGTATTGCCACTAAGTTGTTCTGACTCATGGTGACCTCAGGTGTTAGAGAATATATAACATGGTATATTTTCCTTTATTATATCTCTGGGTACTCGACATTTTATATTATAAGCAAGCACTATTTTTATAATAAAAATGTAATGAATTTGTAAACAAATAATGGGGAAAATGGAAATTCATGGGGGTGGCTGTCTCCATATGTACAGATTTGAGAGAGCACTCTATCACAATTAAAGAATCATGAATTCTGCACAAAAATGACTTCAAACTTACCTGATTACTGGAGGCAACGCATCAAGTCTGGTCTCTGGGCTCCAAGCTATGCCATCAACCCTGACTCCATGGTGAAATTTTCGTAGTGTTTTATACTGAATTCCTTCAATGTCGGCTTCTTCCTCCTAAGCAGATACAGTAAATATTTCAGTAAATTTTGAGAGTATAATCTGTAGATTATGAGAAAATTTTACCAGGAGTTATAGATTTTTTTCAGAAGTTCATATACAACTCAGAAACTGAGATTTAGCTAGTTCATTGAAATATAAGACCAACTAGCAGACAGACATTGGGCCTCTACTCAAATACTCATAACCTGTCATTCCGTGATGCTCACCTTCCTGACATCATCACTGAAGACAAAGCAGGCGCATAAGCAAATGTGGCGAAGAAAGTGGATGGTGCCCGGCTATCAAAAGATATAGCATCTGGGGTCTTAAAGGCTTGAAGATAAACAAGCCGCCATCTAGCTAAGAAGCAACAAAATCCACATGGAAGAAGCACACCAGCCTGTGTGATCATGAGGTGTCAATGGGATCAGGTATCGTGCATCAAAGACCCAGAACAAAAAATTCTATCATTATGAATGTGGGGAGTGCGGAGTGCCCAAAGCCCATCTGTAGGCAACTGGACATCCTTTTACAGAAGGATGAGCCAGTCGGGGAACAGTATAGCACCAATGGAACATAGAACTTTCCTCTAGTTCTTTAGTGCTTCCTTTCTCCCCACTATCATGACCCCAATTCTACCTTACAAACAGTTCAGAGGTTACACAATTCCACTAAGGGGGAAAAATGCAGAGCAGGTAAAACTTGCTATTGAGCTGAATCCATATTAGCATCTAGATAATTATCTAAAGCGTCTAAGAATTTCCATTCCCTCTGAGTCTACATGGAAGTTTTATGTGTTTTAATGAAATTCAAGTGGATGTGATTTTTTTTTTTTAGGTTGGCTGTTGGGAGTCCTGCAAAGATACATTCCACAGCTCTTTCTCTCCCCGGTCAGATCACCTTGTGAAAATCTCATACATCTGGATGAACTTAGAGGTAAAGGCAAAAAGTTCTTCCACAAATGAAAAAAAGGGTGGGGGGGGCCCACCGGCAACAAATACACTTTTAATGGAAAGAGAAATGCTGCCACTTTTACATCATTTGTGTGCATAACAGCTCTGTATCCAGCAGTCAGATTTGCCAAGACGGCCACAGCTCAACTGTTCTGAAGTTTAGGAGCTGACTTCATAGTTTGGGTTACTTATCCCTTTTCACACTTGACAAATCAGAAAATTGAAAATTTTTACATCAAAACACACATTGTTTTGCTACCGTTAACAGCACTGGTGACAATTAGGTACTGTAATTTGTTCCTCAAATTACAGATGGAATTATTGGGTGGTGATGGAGGTGGGAATTTAAAAAAGGTTCCAGGGGTTTTATAGCCTGAGCTTTATGTTAAAAAAAAAGTTTTTTTTTCCTTTTTCCTGGCAGCAATATTTGCCATTGAGCCAACTAAAAGGGCAGGGTGTGTATATGTGGTATAGGCAGATGAATGCTACTGTGAGTTTTGTGTGGGGTATAGGCAGGAAATTAAGGCATTTCGGAAAACTTGCTATAATACTAATGACTATACAAGGCTCTAGCATATTTGAGGTTGGGGCAAAGCCAGGTTGATGGAAGGGCTATTATAAGGGTTTGAAGCTGGCAGGTGGTCCCACCATATCCATTGAGAGAGTAAAAGAAAAATTCAGATTTAGATGGATGGTACACTTTATCCAGTCCAATTCTTCCATTAATGCTTCACTCAGTTGTAGGACACCTCCAAGGAGAGGGACCTAACTACTCCCCACTATTCGAAACGCTCCACATGACCTTTCTTTTGGAGCGCCCACACAAATCCCCCTGGCTGTCTCCTCCTGACACTGACACCTGGTGAACTTCCAAGTCAGTAAAAACTCAGGCACCTTTCTTCCTGCCAGCTCCAGCAACCTATCACTTTCAGACTGTTTAACTGAATGTTAGTGTCCTCTGCGGGGCCTACTAATCGAGCTACTGCAAGGTTTGGATTCTGGCACAGTGCTGGGATATAGCTGGCGCTCAATACCTATTATTAAACTGAAGTCCCAAGTATTCGGTTTTCTTCTCAGTTTTGTGTTCTAAATCAATTGAACGTGTTTGCCTAGGTCTGTGTTCTTATCCAAGTTCTAATAAGAATGTTGAATATGTAAAACAACAAAAAGACAAAATTCTGTACTACTAGAGGCTATTATTAATATCTTTTGAACAGACAAACTTCCATGCTTCCTTGGACCTTGGCAGAGATAGCAGTTTTGGTGCAGTGTCTTTACATTTAAAATCTCCATGAGGCCAGAGTCCTGGCTTTAAAAAAAACCAACACAAAAAACATGTCATTGGTGTTTGATAGCTAGTAAGCACTCAAGGAGTCTCTGGTGTCACAGTGAAAGCTTGAAGTAGTAGCCCAAAGACTGGTAGGTGGCTTGAATGAACTCAGAGGCACTGTGGAGGCAAGCCTGGCGATCTGCTTCCCAAAGCTCAAGCCATGAAAACTGTAAACCCTATGGAGCAGTGCTGTGCACCAGGGCTTCAAACAGGTTCATTCTGCCTCAATCTCCAGAGAACTTGCCTTTCTACCCCAGGTATACTGAATCCTTTTCACAATACTTCAGGTGGCTCTTATATATTTGGAAAGGCAAATTCTCAGGAGGGGGTTGAACTGAAATGATTTAGTATCTGCACACATGGAGTCACTATAAATAAATCGACTTAACTGAAATGACACGTTGGTAGTCCAGCTGAAAGCAACCAGATCATTTCAGCTTAAAAGCTATAAATTCCTCTCCCCACCATAACAGAAAAGATGGGATAATGGGAAAACACTTGTATTTTACTCAGACATCAACAAACAGAAAACGCAATGCATACTTTTCTTGTTGGATAAATATGCAGCTCATTTTTATATGACTTTACACATGTGTTGTACTTTAAATACTAAATCGCATTTAAGTTAACGCACTTTCAGATCCTGGATTAAAGACCAAATAATACTTATGATCGTTTTAGTGAGACAATTGTAAATCTTTAACAATGTGTCACTGCCAAATTACTGAATTGAATAAGCATTAATTTGAGAAAAAAGAGCCCATGACTAAGATTCTGGCAAATAGGAGTAATCAAGCTCTCTGAGGGTTGAACCCTCATTGTTCAAAGGGTCTCTTAACGTGGGAAACTAGCTTTCTCGTGAGAAAACATGCTGTGTGCTCACCAAAACAATCCTCCTTTGGCAATTTTAAATATGGGACTGTGCCTGAGTGCCATCATTGTCCAAATCCACGGGAGCTAAACTATTTATGGTTTACTCTGCCAGATGCTACTGTGGGGACTGTACAATGTTCTCATTAACTCTTCACAAAACACTATTAAATATTATTTTCCTCGTGTGTAGATTTGAGAGTAAGTTCCAATCTTAAGGTCAGAAAGCTACTAAGAGGTAAAGCAGGAGGTAAAATTCAAGGCATTCTAATTCGAGTTCATGCTCTAAATGTGGATGCTGAACTGCCTGCTCTCATAGGCGCACATTCTAATTGCATGCTTTAGGTATAAGAAGTATGAGAGCCTATCCATAGAAAAGCTGAATCTTAGGAAAGTGACAAAAATCTCTCTGAAGACTGGTTTCTTCTGTCAGAGTGGTTGAAAAAGAGAAATTGTAATTCATTTCAACCCATTTAAGTGGTGCTTTTTCATCACCTGTACAATGTTCTCACTCTCTCAGACATATACAATTGGGGCTGCCCCTTTCTCTGGGTCTTTCTGTCATTTTCTTTTCTTTACATTCACACGCAATAGAGTAATTTCAAATTTCAGTTCTGGTTTGTGTGTGTGTGTGTGTGTTTTAATTGGTGAAATATCTTGCCATTCATTGCAGCTTTGTAGACTAACCTGAAATGTGCACATGCCAGTGACCACGTAATGATTGCCACCATATGCAATTAGGTTTCCTGAATTCCCACTCTCAAAGGGATTAAATTCTACCACATGCACATAATCGTCACAATCCACCGTGTAGGCAGCTTTTCTTGTGGCATCTTGCTTCATCTTGTATGTCAAAACTTGAGCAGTTGTAAAAATAAAACGGCCTTCCCGTGGACAAGGTCAGGAAACTGTGGATTACAGCACAAACAGAATTAGAAAGGGTCGAATGTTAGCTACTCACACGTACCAAAATTAAAACGTGGCACTGCACTGCCAGAGAAGGATTAAAAGGAATGAAACATTCGTAACATAGTTATTATAGAAACCCCAAGAAAATAATTTAATTAAGTTATTAATGATGCAATACCTACATTATGTAGGGCAGGGCAGACTGGGCTTTCTACTCCAATGAACCGTTAAAGCGTCGGAAACCCACAGGGGGTCGCTAATGGTCAGCATTGACTAGAAGGCACCCCGAGAAGTACCTACTTTGCAGTTTCCCGCTTTTCCATATTTGTAACTGTACCTGCACAGAAAGTCATGGTGACATTGTTTCAATTACCTTAAGGACATGGAGAGCACTTGGAAACGGGCCCAATTTAATATTAAATACACACACAGAAGTTAACAGCTAACATTTACTGAGCACTATGTGTGAGCACTGTACTAAGCACATTATCAACATCATCACTCATAACATTTGCACAAGTCAGAGGCAGGTACTATTTATGGATCCCAATATACAGATGAAAAATGGAAGCTTTGTGAGGTTCAGTAACTTGACAAGCTCCAAAGTAGAGCCAGGATTTGAAAAACTTTTCTATATGTTGCACATCACTGACAGGGAAGAAAAACACATGAGATCACAAACTAAGGATAGTTATGATTCAGCGCTAATACTACTATAATAGGCGCACGCACAAAATATGACAGCATCTGGTGGGAGGGGTGCCAGAATGTGTGGCATAAATATTCATAAACCCAAGCACAAAACTTCACCTAACGAGTCTGGGCTTGGTGTGCATTCTGGAATTCTCAGTACCAGCGGGGGAAGGGCGTGGGGGGAAAAGAGAGATGGGATCTTTCTTTTTTCCAATTAGACCCAAGAGTTTTAGGCGCCTAAAGTGGGCTCAGTAACACATCAAACACCTGAAGGGTACTTACTGATAATTAGTTAAAACGAATCGGAGCTCAGAGAGCTAACAAACTAGCAACCTTACAAGTGGACCTACAGGATTGGATTCTTGTTAAGATGAACTTGCAGCTGGGATGACCACCTAGGCAAGATGGTGTGGGAAGCCCAATAGATTGGAGGAAACGCGGTCCCAGCTTAAGATGGATGGCTCGTGAGAGCAGCACGCGATCCCGCGGTATAGGCTTTCCGCGGTGGTGGACAGTCGTAGCGTAGGAGGGTGGGGAACAAGGAATGCCCCTACAAGGCCCCCACCCCACGCCGGCCACCCCCGATCTCTCTCCCTCAGCCAGGAGAACCTGTTCCCGCCTCCCTGGTGCCGAGATGGGCGGCGAGAGCAGTGGGAACAGCCAGGGAGGCGATGGAACCTAGGGAAACAGGCTAGAAGTGCGGAGTGACAGGTAGCCAAGCAGCACGGTCCCTAGAGCACCCCCGGTATACGCACCCGAAGGCGCAGGGCCCCGGCCAAAGGATAGCAGGTCTCTGCGGGAGGCTGCAGCGCCACGCGCCGGCTCTGCTTCCGGGTCGGAGGGCGAGCGCGGTGATTGGCTCCTGGGCGCTCCCGCGATATTTGAATTAGACCAGACTGCGGTGCAGCCGTCGCTAGTCGGTCCATCCGCGGGAACTTGACTGTGTCAGGTCTGCACCTTTGGGCTCTCTCTCCTTCGGGCCAGGTGAGTCGTGCCTCCTCCCTGTCGGCCCTTTCTGTGGAGATTCCAGCCCGGGCTTGTGAGGGGGTTTCGTTATAGCCACGCGCCCCCTAGTCACCCTGTAGGGGTTTGAGCTGAGCAGTTGTTTCGTGGGAACGGGGCCCTCAGACAGAGTTCACAGGATCTCCTGATGGATCTCGGAGATCTGGGGGTTTCGTCTGCAGATTGGAAACTGAAGTCCGGACAGGACAGCCTGCTTAATGTTCTTTAGGTAGGAAACCAGAGTTACCCACTCACCTCTGATACGGATTCTAATTCCGATACTGTCACCCCTTTGTGTTATTCTCCCAGGGAACATTTTAGCTTTTTTTTTTTTTTTTTACTGCGCACCTTTTAAAAGGATCTACCCAGTGTATTATGTACTTGTATAGTAATTGTATGCGAAGGAGCCTTTTACCGGTGGAAGACGGCGAGCCTATCAGATTTTACAGGTAGCTCAATAAAGGTATCCAACTCGGAAGTGTCTTTAGTTCTTTCAACTATGTCACCTTGCCGCCCCGGGGACAGTTGCCTCTCCTGATTTTGTACCAGTGTAGCTTTGAATCCTTTTTTTTTTTTTTTTACGTGTGGAAAACATATGTACGAAAGCATTTGCCCTTCTCACCCTTTTTACCTGTACTATTCAATGCCATGGATGCTGTTCAGCCTGCTGTGCAGCCATTACTGCTTGAAATCCAATTTTTGAAAATAAGTACTTATTATCGCTACCTCCTTCTCCTGTTTTTGTAGAGTGCCCTTGTCTCCCAGTGCTCTCGATATTCACGATCTCATCGAGCCCCCTGCACACTTTGGTTGGTAGGTAACTAGGAACAAACGGGGTATTATTCCTGCCCTCATTGTGATGATTTTACTTAGGAGACAAATGTCAAGCTTATGGCCTCGGCTCCTACAGCCACCTGCTGAAATAATAGCGGGCACAAGAGCGGGAGTTGACAAACTGTGCTGTCTGCTTTTTGTGCAGCCAGTTTCTGAGCTAACATTAGGCTTGATGTGTTTAATGATTGGGGAAAAAACAAACAAAAGAGCACTCTTGTGATATATGAAAGCTATGTGAAATTCAAATTTTGATGACAGTCAATTTTTGTTTGAGCGGACTCCAGCTAAGCCACTGCCATTTGTACACATTGACTGGCTCTTTCACAGGAACCCTGGTGTATTGGGTTGTGTTGGGCTTTGATTTTCAAGGTCAGCAGTTGGATATTACTAGCCTCTCAAAGGGAGGCTCTTTCTAGAGCTTTATACTCTCAGAGTTAAGACTCTTGTAAACTCACAAGGGCGGTTCTATCAAGTCCTTGAATGTACATCACTCTGGCAGTGGGTTTGATTTTTTTTTGGAAGGCCCCTTTCATTCTAGAAGGGCAATTGGAGTAGTTGTAACAGAGACCTTGTGCTTTGAAAAGTTTCAAAGATGAACTGTTTGGCCCTTTCTAAGAGAGTACTTGACCCTCCAGCGATCCAGTGACGGACTCGGGATCAGAACCGTGTAATTCTTATTCTTAGCAGTGTGGACTCAACTTTACAGCCACTAAATAATTTACTGGTAAAGACTTGTCTTCGGCAAAATGATTATCATACTGAAACTTTGTCTTCACACCTTTTTTTTTCTTTTGAAAGGTAAAGGTTATATTTTGAAAGAAAATAACAGGTTTCTCCCACTATCCAAAAGTAGAGTTTTCCTATGAAACCTAATAAATGGAAAGGGAAGACATACAGGGAAGAAGCAATGAACACGAATGGATGTAGGGCATTCTTTTGAGGGTTCCCAGATTTAAAACGAGTCTATCAAATCACACCAAATCGCACCTGAAACATAAAACTCCACTAGCATGCTCACAGAACAGTTCACAGATATGACGATTTGGTGCTGAGCTGCTGAGTGTAGTTTCCAGGAAGGAGCTTGGTGATGCCACGCATGCTCTCCTGGTATGTGCTGCTGCTTTCATGAGTGGCTCTAAAGCACACATGGAATGCTAGGCTCACTTTGCACTTTCTTAAAAAATACATCAAATATCCCTTTGAATTTCTATGCTTGGGGAAAACAGGTACTAGTGTACGTCTTTTGTGAAAGTGAATGTTATAAGCCAACTTTTGAAAAGTGGGGGATAGCTGTACAACTCTTAGTTATTGATGAGGCGTTATATGCCTTTATGTAGATATTTTCATCTAGTCTTCTAGCTGTATCTTTAAATTGTATCACTGATTATGTCTGTATATAAACTCTTTTGCACTTTGACTCAACTCATTTTGCAAATGGCACATGCCCTTTTTTTTTTTCAGTCTTCAAATATTTTTTATTGGAAGGCCATGCATTGCCGTCATGTATTTCAAATCACTATACATTTAACTTTTGTGAAAACACTGTGTGCATTTTCTAGTATTAAAAAAACAGAACCACCTAAAATGGTTTCAGGTATGTAGAGAAATGTCCAACTTAGATAGCGAAAAAGTGCACCGTAATTACTGCTGCACTGCAATTATTTCTGCATTTCCCATGTTTCTCAAATGACTGTCTTGTCTGATAACACATAATATAAAGAGCAATTGTGAAAAACAGACATTTACATATGCCTCAAAAACTATTCTGTTCACTTGCCCTTTTTCTTCATACAAACCCAAGGTGTCTAGTCAGCACCTGGGCCTCTGCTTATGCCACATAAAAGTGAAAGAATAGGATGCTAAGAGGAGTCAGTACATGGACATACACAGTACAGTCTCCAGCATGGACAGTGGGGACTGGATCCCTTAGAAAACCATTTAAGTGAGCAAACTCAGAAGGGAATTTACATAGTTATGTATAACTTTGGAACTTTGTATCAGGAGAGGATATATAATACAGTGGTTTAAGAATGAGTTAGGTATCCTAGATTGAGGTTTGATTTGGCCACTGGCATGCCGAGTGATATGGGGCATCAGGTATTTCAGATGTAAAAAGAGAAGACTAAGTCCCACCACATAGGACTGTAGTGAGGATCGAATGAACTACTAAATTAGAGCTTTTGAAAAGGAACATGCACCAGGCAAGAGCTCTTAAATACTAGCTAATGTTTTATTTTTATCCTACTGCAGAGTGATAAACCACTTCAAAATGCAGTGGCTAGTTTTATTTGCTCATAATTCTGTTGATTAACATTTTTGCTGGCCTTAGGCCTGGATGACTCTTGTGACTGTGGTTCATCCAGTGGGCTCATAGGGGCTAGGTCATCTAAGTTACTTCTACTCACTCACCTGCCGGCTTGTGTTGGCTGTCATTTGGAGTGCTTTCGTTCTCTTCCACCTGGCACCTCCAGCAGACTAGCTTGGGCTTCTGCACATGGCAGTCTGAGAGTAGCACGAGAATGAGAACTGAAGGTGCAGGGCCTCATGTTACATTTCCAAGGGCCACCTCCAGGTTGGGTGATTCGCTGAGATGCCTTCTAGCACTTAGTATGGAGTCATACGCACAGCTCTGATGTAATGCAGCAGAAGGATACAAAGCAAAACCAGCAAAGGACAAAGGCACTGGGGGAGAAGTCTTCAAGGGAGACCAGGGTCCTCTCTAAGTGGAGTCACACAGGGCAGGCTTAATTTCCCCAGCAACAAGTTGTGACAAGTGTGAAATGTTTCCATCAAGGAAGTCCTGGGTTTTTATCATGGGCGGAACTCTCAGGCATTCTGGAAACATTCCAGACTCCCAGGAGAAAAGTAGATATTTGACATAAAGTAGATTGATATTGTTTGTGCTATTTAACCATAACTCATATCAATTCGTGGTAGTGGGAACCTTCCTAAAATCTGAGATCCCATTGACCAGCCCATGATCAGTCTTTCAAAGGGCAGCAGTCAGGCCTGCTATGTTAACTCTTTTTATGCATGGGTCTCTAGAGGCCTGGACTCAGAAAAATCATTTTCCTCACAATCTAGTGGCCAAAACAAGGCACAAGGAAGGCCCAGATTTAAATAGGTGAGAGAGTGGATCACTTCATTTGAGAGAGGGAAGATCATACAGTGATGGGAGGAATTTAGCAGTTTTTCCTTATTTTTTTTAAAAAACATTTTATTAGGGGCTCATACAACTGTTATCGCAATCCATACACACATCAATTGTGTAAAGCACATTTGTACATCATTCTCAAAACATTTTCTCTCCACTTAAACCCCCGACATTAGGTCCTCATTTTTCCCCTCCCTCCCCGCTTTCCCTCCCTCATGAGCCCTTGATAGTTTATAAATTGGTATTTTGTCATATCTTGCCCTGTCCGACGTCTCCCTTCACGCACTTTTCGGTTGTCTGTCCCCCAGGGAGGAGGTCACATATAGTTCCTTGTAATTGGTTCCCTCTTTCCTACCCATTCTCCCTTTACCCTCCCTGTTTCGCCACTCACACCACTGGTCCTGTAGGGCTCATCCGCCCTGGATTCCCTTTATTTTCAGTTCCTATCTGTACCACTGTACCTCCTCTGGTCTAGCCAGTCTTGCAAGATCGAATTCGAGTCATGGTAGTGGGAGCGGGGAGGAAACATTTAGGAACTAGAGGAAAGTTGCATTTCTCATCGTTATATCGCACAGTTTTTCCTTATTTTTGCTGCTTACCACAGATATTTCTATTTATTGAAAAGACTAATTTAAAAATATAGCTTTAATTGGTTAGTCCTTTGTCTACTATTATAAGTTTGTCTCTCTATATGTTTTGCATGTGTTTTCAGACTGAGGGCTGGCTTTTCTTATTTCAAAATATTTGATTTAAGAAAATTAAATGAGAGAAAAATATGTTGGGCAGGAATTGCATCGGTATTTTACTTTCCTAAATTTAATTATAGGCCGTCTTGGTCAACGTGAAAGGATTTCTTGTCCACTGTCTATTTTTTCTTCCTCTAAATGCTGTGTATTAAACATGTAAGGTATTAATTTCCAATTACAATAAACCCATTGGGTATTGTTTCTGGTCCTGCTTTCAGAGGATGGCTGTGCTTTATCAGAAGGCTGTCTTGGATATGATCAAAGAGTTTAGACGGAATTGGCGTGCGCTGTGCAGCTCGGAGCGAACTACTGTGTGCGGAGCAGACTCCATGCTCTTGACACTGCAGCTTTCCGTGGCAGAGAGCAACAAACAGGTTAGAGAACTGTATTTGAGTCACTGTACCTTCTTATCTTTAAACTGAGTTTTGGTTGCTGCTCGTTTTAATAAGCTTCGTTGCATTAATCTTTTGGTAACATGCTCGTCTCTGATAATATCAACGCAGCATTTAAAACGTTTTTTTGTTCTTTTATAGTTTTATTGATATAGAATTCACACCTCGTACACTTCCATTGTTAAATCTCTTTTAAAAAGAGTTGTGTATATGTAGCACCACAATCGGTTCTAATGCTCCCTCCTTGCTCCTGCATTTATTGCTTGCTCCCCAGGCCCTCTTATCCTCCCCCACCCCCAATAAACTATTGAATCAGCTATTCTCTCTGTGCATCCATTCCCTCGGTGCGTTCTAAACTGGGAAGCCCAACAGAAACAATAAAAAACAAAACAGAAAATAATAAAGATAAAAAATAAAAATATAGAGTAAGAAGGTAAAGATCATCAGCAATCTCAAAACAACCCAGAGAGAAATTTTTGTCAACACAGTATTTTTGAAAATTCCAATATATTGGTAGGACTCAAGATCTCATTTCAAAATTAAGGCCTCCAGTCACTCACTCACTGCCAATCAAGTCGATGTTGACTCTTAATGACCCTATCAGGAAGAGTAGAACTCTCCCTTGGGTTTCTGAAACTGGAATTCTTCACAGGCTGAGAAAGCTTCCTTTTTCTCCCAAGGAGTGACTGGCTGGTGGTTTTCAACTGCTGACCTTGTGGTTGGCAGCCCAACGCATACCCAGCACACCATTTGGACTCTTAAGACCTTGAATAACATAGTCCATGAAGACAAAGTTCCATATCCTACTTTGATGAGTACCACCTGGGGTCTTAAAGGCTTGTGAGCAACCATTTAAGGTGCTGCTGTTGGTTTCTCCCTGCCCTGACCAAAGAAGATTGGAGAGAATCTAAGACATGTGGAAACAATTAGTCCTATGAACTAATGAACCATGAGAACCTCATCCTCCACCCCAGTATCAGAATTATATGGTGCAAGGCTACTATTACTGATTCCTCTGACAGGGATTACAATAACAAATTCTGTATAAGTCACTACCGTTGAGTCTATTTGACTCATATTAACCCTATGGTACAGAGTTGAACTTCCTCTTTTGGCTTCCAGGGCAGTAAATCTTTACAGGAGCAAAATATCTATTTCCTGACAATGGATTGGTTAGTAGTCCAACACATAACCCACTGTGCTACCTGGACTCTATAGAAAGGCTTGTATAGAATAGGAGAAAAATGGGGACCAAAACTCAAAGTCATAATCACAAGCAAGGTTACCAGTTGGCTGGAGATTGGTAGAACCCCCAAGACTATGGTTGTTACTCACCCTTCAAGCCTGCAATTGAGCTCACTGTTGTGGTTCTGTTTTCAGCCATACAATACTCACTGCCTTCAGGTGGATTCAAACTCACAGGGACACTATCTAGGGTTTCAGAGGTTATAAATCAGTGGAAACAGACAGCGTCATCTTTCTCCCTCAGAGGATGATTGCTTGAACCACCAACCTTGCAGTTTAATGCTTACCTGACAGCACCACCAGAGCTCCTTAGCCAAACAATCGTAAGATCCACAAGGTGAATGGTAACACTAGGGAGGTACGAACTGCTTAGAATGGTCAACCCTGTGTGATCACCAAGGCAGCATTTGCCCATGGACCAGCATGAGAGGTCAGGGAAAGTTAGGTAAAGAGTAATGGAAAAGGGAAGCAGAGAGGAATTGAGATAAACTGATGTGACTTGCTGGGGATTATAGTTGTTGACATGCAACAAAAAATATGTGGACTGTTGAATGGAAAACTGATCTGCTCTATAAATCTCTGCCCAATCCACAGTAAGAAGTTAAAAAAATATTAAAACCTTAAGACATGCAATTTGACATATAGGACATGACATGAGAGCTTCAAATGTTCATGGAAACATTCAATCTATCTTTTAATTCTACTTTCCATGAACTTTTTGAAGCCCCTATGCATTTGATGTTTCATGAAAAGTCTTTTAAAATTAAAAAAAATTTTAAGATCATTGTATTGGGGGCTGTTACAACTCTTGTTACAATCCATACATCAATTGTATCAGACATATTTGTACATATATTACCATCATTCTTTTCTAGACATTTACTTTCTATTGAGCCCTTTGTATCAGCTCCTCTTCCCCCCCCCCATCCTGACTTCTTATTTTATTTTAAAAATCATTTTGTTGGGGGCTCATACAGCTCTTATCACAATACATACATGCATCCATCGTGTCAAGCACATTTGTACATTTGTTGCCATCATCATTTTCAAAACATATTCTTTCTATTTGAGCTCTTGGTATCAGCTCCTCATTTTTTCCCCACTCTCTCCCCCCTCCCTCCCTCACCCTTGATAATTTATACATTATTATTTTTTCATGTCTTACACTGACCAATGTCTCCCTTCAGCCACTCATGAAAAGTCTTAAGATAGGTACTTCTCTGGCTAATAGGAGAAAAGTTTATTTTTATTTTATAAGACTTATTTTTGTTTAAAATCACTGTCATCAAATCAATTCAGAATTGTAGTGACCCTATAGGACAGAGTAGAACTGGTTCTTGGAGTTTCTAAGACTGTAACTCTTTATGGGAATAGAAAGCCTTATCGTTCTCCTATGAAGGAGCTGATGATTTCAAACTGCTGACCTTGCTGTTATTATTAGTATCACATGCAAGTAAAATGTTGCTGAACATCAACAACAGTTGCAGAACAGAGAGCTAGAGACGGTCAGGCTGGACTCAAGAGGTTGTGTAACAAGGGAGATCATTGCTGATGTCAGATGAATCTTGTTTTAAAGCAGAGAATACCAGCAAGATGTTTATGTGCATTTTATTGACTATGGCAAGGCATTCAACTGTGGATCATAACAAACTGGATAACCTTGAGAAGAATGGGAATTCCAGAACACTTAATTGTGCTCATGTGGAACCTGTACATGGATCAAGAGGCAGTGTGTGAACAGAACAAGAGAATACCGCATGGTTTAAAATCAAGAAAGGTGTGTGTCAGGGTTGTATCATTTCACCATACTTATTCCGTGTGTGTGCTGAGGAAATAATTAGAGAAGCTGAATTATATGAAGAAGAATTCAACACCAGAATTGGAGGAAAGCTTATTAACAACTTGCATCATTTGGATGATACAACCTTTCTTGCTGAACATGAGGGGAACTTGAAGCACTTGATGAAAATCAAGGATTACAGCCTTCAGTATGGATTACAACTCACTGCAAAGAAAACAACAATCCTCACAACTGGACCAATAAGTAACATCATGACAAGTGGAGAAAGGATTAAAGTTGTCAAGGATTTCATCTTGCCATGATCCACAATCAATGCTCATGGAAGCAGCAGTCAAGATTCCAAGTTACTTGTCACATTGGGTAAATCTGCAACACATGACCTCTTTAAAGTGTTGAAAAGCAAGGATGTTACTTTGAGGACTAAGGTGCACCTGGCTAAAGCCATGGCATTTTCAATTGTTCCATATGCATGTGAAAGTTGAACATAGAATAAGTAAGGAAGTAGATCCATGCATTTGAATTATGGTGCTAGTGCAAAGTATTGAGGTACCATAGACTGCCAAAAGAATGAACATCTGGCTTGGAAGAGGTTCAGTCTGAATGCTCTTTATAGGCAAGGATGGCAAGACTGTCTCGTGTCCTTTGTCTGTTTTCAGAAGAGACCAGTCCCTAGAGATGGACTTCATGTTTGGTAAAGTAGAGGGGCAGCAAAAAAGAGGAGAGCCCTGCATAAGATGGATTAAAACATTGGCTGCCACAATGGGTTTAAACATAACAACGATTGTGAGGATGGCCCAGGACTGGGCAGTGTTTTGTTCTATTGTGCATAGGGTCACTATGAGACTGATTTAACTCAATGGCCCCTAAACAACAACAGCAACAAAAGGGTAGGGATGTGTAGATGAGGGAAGGATGAACATAGGCTAGCATGGTAAAGAAAGGATTCTTAGATGTTAGATGATCATCTTAAATGAAGGAAAATCATTGGATGGGAAGAATTTAGGACATGGAAGAAGGAAGGGGAGTCAGTTCAGAAGAAGGGTCTGACACCCATTGTTCAGGAAAGTCTGACTAAGTGCTCCTTGCCCAGTTTCCAAGGCTGCCAGTCTTTTACCTGAAACAGATTGCCCCCTTTTTCTCCTGGAGAGCAGGTGGTGGGTTTAAATTTAGCAGTCAATGGATTTAATCACTGCAATACAACCTTAGAGAACGGGTCTAAACCTAAAAACGAAACTCACTGCCATCAATTCTGACTCATAGTGAGTGACCTTACAGGACAGGATAGAACTGCCCTTGTAGGTTTGCAAGACTAACTGTTTACCAGAGTAAGAAGCTTCATCTTTCACCCAAAAGAAGGGTTCAGGACATCAAAATCATGGTAAGGACACTTGTTAGACAAGATGAGAGAAATTTTGAGAGTAGGCCTGGTTACAATAGCTCTGTCGAACTAGTTTGTGAAGTGGCATTGGATGAGTGCCTTGATTTTTATTATCATTGGTTCACAAACTTAGATGTCAGAGGCCTGTACACTTTTTCTTTTTCAAAGTCAATTTTATTGGGGGCTCGTACAACTCTTATCACCATCCATACATATATCCAGTGTGTCAAGCACATTTGTACATTTTTTGCCACCATCATTTTCAAAACATTTTCTTTCTACTTGAGCCTGTGGTATCAGCTCCTCGCTTTTTCCCTCCGTCCCCCACCCTCCCTCTCTCCCTCATGAACCCTTGATAGTTTATAACTTATTATTATTTTTCATGTCTTACACTGACCGATGTCTCCCTTCGCCCACTTTTCTGTTGTCTATCACCCTTGGAGGGGGTTATAGGTAGATCATTGTGATTGGTTCTCCTTATCTACCCCCACCTTCCCCTTCCCCTCCTGGAATGGCTCCTCTCAATATTGGTCCTGAGGGGTTTATCTGTCCTGGATT